GGCTCTCAGAATAGCTGAAGGTGCAGATCTGGAGGATGATGAAATGGCCATGATCACAAGAGATTTCAAAAAGTACCTGATGAGAGGAAAAGGGTTCTTCAAGAGGTACAACCTTCAACAAACCAAGGGTTCCTGAGAAACAGACCAATGAGGGTTGCTACAAATATAGTAAGACTGAACACATGATCTAGAACTGTCCTCAATGGAAAATTGGGTGGAAGAAGGAAAGGGCTGAATGAAGGAACAAGAATAAGGAACAGGTTCAACCCAAAAGAAACAAAGGATCAACAAAGGCTATGGTTGCTACTTGGGGAGAAACATCAGATAAGGACTCAGAAAATGAAGCTAGAGATGAACAAGCACTTATGGCCATTGGAGAATCAGATGATGAACAAGATGTAAGTGTCCTTCATCTCAAAGACAAGATTAAATTCCTGTCTAAAGAAAGATTGTCTGAACTATTTCTAGACTTCATTGATGAGTCTGAGATAATTAACAATGAGAAGGAAGATCTGTCTAGGGAATGTGTGATCTTAAAAGCCAAGTGCAAAAATCTAGAATCTAGGGCTAATGAGAGTGATAGTAAAAATGCTGAGTTGAATAACCAGGTTCTTGAACTTGACACCAGTGTCTTAGAACTTAGGTATGAGAACTTAAAACTAAAACTAGGAACAGGTAAGAAGAAAGCTGATCACACACATCTCACCCTAGAAGAAAACTTAGAAAAAATGAAAGATGAGTTGTACATGAAGATTGAGCAGATAAACGTCTTAAAAGAAGGCCTAGGGAAGGTAAAACATGAACTAGATAGAACTTGCAAATGGAACAAGGCTTCTGATGCACTTTCCTGGCTACAAGAACATCACAGTAGCAATAACAGAGGACTTGGCTATGGGACTTAAGCACCTAAGTGAGATCCTAAAAGCAAGTACCTTACTCTTCCTGAGAACAAAATATGCACACACTGTGGCAAGACTGGCCATTATAAAAATGAATGTAATGTAAAAGAAAAGGCCAGTCAAAAAGAACAAAGCTTTTGTTCAAGAGAAAAATAATTTGCCTGGGTGGGCTAAAAGGAATTTGATTTACCCCTTTGCCTATAGAAAGGGACCCAAACTATTTTGGGTTCCTAAGACTAACCCTTGATTTTTTTTTGCAGGTCCAAGTGAAGGGAAGTAGCCAAATATGGTACATGGATAGTGGCTGCTCAAAACATATGACTAGAAGTAAGAACCAGTTCCTTTCACTTGAGGACTTAAAGGGAGGTAATGTCTCCTTTGGAATGGGAAGAAATGTGAGATTATTGGGGTTGGAAAGGTAGGTAAGACAGACTCACACTCCATTGAGAATGTCTACTTGATAGATGGCTTGAAATACAGCCTGATCAGTGTGTCACAACTATGTGACAGAGGTAACCTTGTAGCATTCACCTCTACCAAATGTTTTGTGATTAACCTTACCACTGACAAGATTGTTTTGCAGGGAAAAAGAGTTAACAATATTTACATTGTAGATTTGTCTACTCTTTCAGAAAATGAACTCACCTGCCTAAGTGTGTTGGTAATGATCCCCTCCTATGGCACAAAAGACTTGGTCATACTAGTCTAAATCAGCTCAACAAATTAGTCTCTAAGGACTTGGTGATGGGGCTACCTAACATCAAGTTCAAGGAAGACAAAGATTGTGAGGCCTGTGCAAGGGGGAAGCAAATAAGATCATCCTTCAAAAGCAAAAAAATGGTAAGCACAACCAAGACGTTGGAACTGGTCCATATGGATCTCTGTGGTCCAATGAAAACCTTGAGCAGAGGTGGAAAGAAATATGTGATGGTACTTGTTGATGATTATTCTAGATTTACCTGGGTACTATTTTTAATATCTAAAGATGAAGCATTTGGCATGTTTACTGCTTTTGTTAGAAAAACTCAAAAATAATTAGGTAATCAACTTGCATCCATTAGGTCTGATCGTGGAACTGAATTTGAAAATGCTAAGTTTGCTGAATTTTGTGTTGAGCATGGTATAGATCATAACTTCTCTGTCCCTAGGACTCCTCAACAAAATGTAGTAGTTGAAAGAAAGAACATGACTCTTGAGGACATGGCTAGGACTATGCTTCTTTCTAATAAACTGCCCCACAGCTTCTAGGTAGAGGCTGTAAACACTGCATGTTATATTATCAATAGATGCATGACTAGACCTCTTGTAGAGAAGACTCCATATGAGTTACTTAAAGGGAGAAAACCAAATATATCCCATATTAGGGCATTTGGATGCAAATGATTTGTGCACAATAATGAAAAGGACTCCCTAGGTAAGCTTGATCCCAGAAGTGATGAGGGAGTATTCTTGGGATATTCTTCACAGCAAAGCATATAAAGTGTTCAATAAAAGAACTTTGTGTGTAGAAGAAAGTGTGCATGTAGTGTTTGATGAAACTAGCATTCTCTCTAAGAGACAGGAACATGAAGATGAAGCCATTGGACTGGTAAAGGATTTGACTGAAGTCTCAACACAAGTTAAAGTGGCACCAAAAGAAGGAACATGTGATAGGACACGTTCTTCCATCCAGGGCAACCTGACCGGGGGAACTGATCAAAGAGGAATTGAAACTAATCCCCTAAAATAACCTGTTCATGACCCTGTTCCTCAGCAACAGAACATGGGAGAAACATCTAGCAGAAATCAGTTGGTTGTGAAACCTCACAAGTATCAAAGTTCTCATCCTATTGAGAACATAATCATTGATCCAACATCTAGAGTCAAAACTAGATCATAATTAAAGAATCTTTGTGCTTTTGATGCCTTCTTATCTCTTATTGAACCTAAAAATGTTGTTGAGGCTTTGCAGGATACAGATTGGGTGAATGCAATTCAAGATAAACTCAATCAATTTGAGAGAAGTCAAGTTTGGCATATAGTTCCAAGACCCAAGTATCGGTTAGTTATTGGCACAAAATGGGTCTTCAGAAACAAACTTGATGAAGATGGAACAGTTACAAGAAACAAGGCAAGACTGGTGGTCCAAGGTTATAGCCAAGAGGAGGGTATAGATTATGATGAGACTTTTGCTCCAGTTGCAAGACTAGAGAAAATAAGACTCCTCATAGCCTTTGCAGCACACATGGAATTCACTCTCCATCAGATGGATGTCAAAAGTGCCTTCCTGAATGGCTACCTGAAAGAAGAAGTGTTTGTTAAACAACCTCCAGGGTTTGAGAGCAAGGAATGTCCTGAGCATGTGTACAAATTAGACAAGGCTCTCTATAGGCTCAAGCAGGCTCCTAGAGCATGGTATGAACGACTGTCCAAATTCCTGCTTGAACATGGCTAAAAAAGAGGTAAAATTGATAGTACCCTATTCTTAAGGGAAAAAGGTAAAGATCTCCTTATGGTACAAATATATGTTGATGACATAATCTTTGGGGCCACCACTGATAAACTAAGTAAGAATTTTGCCAAATTAATGGAGAGTGAGTTTGAAATGAGTATGATGTGTGAGCTTAACTTTTTCTTACGCTTATAGATCAAACAAAGCCAAAATGGAACCATGATCCATCAGCAGAAGTATGCAAAAGAGCTGATCAAAAAGTTTAAAATGGACGAATCAAAGGAAATAAACACCCCCATTGCAACTGCCACTAAATTGGACATAGATGAACCTGGTTCATTAGTTGATCAGAAGTTGTATAGGGGTATGATTGGTTCACTCTTGTATCTTACTACCAACAGACCTGACATAGTTTTCAGTGTAGGGCTTTGTGCTCACTTTTAGGCTAATCCAAAAGAGTCTCACTTGACTGCTGTCAAGAGGATACTAAGATATTTGAAAGGTACCACTGATCTGTGTCTTTGGTATCCTAAAGGTAGTAATTTCAATCTAGTAGGATATGCTGATGCTGATTATGCAGGTTTCCTTGTGGATAGGAAAAGCACCTCAGGTATGGCTCACTTTCTTGGTTCATGTCTTATATCATGGGCCACTAAAAAGCAAAATTCAGTGGCCTTATCCACTGCTGAGGCTGAATATGTTGTTGCTGCCTCTTGTTGTGCTTAATTGCTATGGATCAAACAACAGCTGGTAGATTTTGGCATTGAAGTTGGTTGCATTCCTATATTCTGTGATAACACTAGTGCTATAAGCATGACAAAGAACCCTGTTCATCATAAGTGGACTAAGCACATAGATGTTAGACACCACTTCTTAAGAGATAACTAGAAGAAAGGATTGATCTCCATAGAATTTTGTGCTACTGATAAACAAATTGCTAACATCTTCACTAAAGCACTGAGTAGAGAAAACTTTGAGAGGAGCAGGTTGGAATTAAGGATGATTAAGATTACCTAATAAGTCCATCTCAGAATGCACAACGAAAAAAATATGAAAAAAAATTTAAAAATGAAAAAAAAAGATTTTTGACTAGGAATTCTGAACTTGTGTAAATATCCAGATTAATTCTTAATTAGCTTCATACTTTAATTAGTATACTCCTGTGACATGTGTTTATATAACTCACTGATCTCTTACAAAATTTTCTCTATTATGGCATTTGAGGCATGTTCAAGAGACGTCTAAATAAAGAACCTGGTTCATCAGTATGGGTTGATATGAAAGCTAAGGTATGTTTTCTATACTCTACACAATTAGAAAGATTAATATTTAAATCATGAGCAGAAGTCCTATAATTGTTCAATTCCTAGAAAATTCTATCCGTTAGCTTTGAACCAGTTCCATCTGCCTAGAACTCTAAACCAAAAAATTTGCCTAAAATCTAGGGAAGATAAATCGATCATTCAAAATCTAGAATTTCAGGTTGATTAGACCTCTAATTGACCAATGCTAAAAGCTGCCGTTACCTATTAAATGTATATTTCTCTTTAAATACACATCATTTCTTCTGCCATTTTCATAATTCCAAACCGTCAAAAATTCTTCTTCACTTTCACTTGACCTCTTCTCCAAAACTCTAATTCCCAAATTCTCTCAAGAAACCAACGATCATGACTAACCCACAAGACAATCCTGAAACTCCTCCACCACCAACTCCCTCAAATTCATCCACACCTCCTCCACCTAGTACATCTCCAAAACCTAGACTGCGAAGGGTGAAAATGCTTGCTCGAAAGACTGTAGTATCTGGGGCTCTGAGGAAGAAATTAAACGAGAAGTTGAAGGTAAGCCATGCCCAAAACTCCGACTCCAGCTCTGATTCTGAATCATATCAATCCGTTACTGAGGGGGAAGAACCTGGGTCATCTGACTCTGAAAAGACTCAAGAATCTCCATCTAAGGTAATTTCTTCTGTGTCTGAAAATCTAGAAACTAGGTTTGTTCTGGTTGGGTATGTTAAGGATATAGAATTACCAGGGTCACGAAGGAGTGGAGGTAAAAAGAATTCTGAAAAAGAAAAAAAGAGAGAGGGTGTATGTGGTGAAGAAAGGGGAAATGGGAAAGGAGAAGTGCCTGTTATCTGTGGGGTTGCACAAGAAAGGGTAGAAGAGAGTGGCATGAAGTCAGGGGGAAGTGGTTCTGGGGAAGCTGCTGAGGGGTTGGTTCATCTGAGCACACAAAGAGATGAACCTGTTTCATCTACTAAAGAGACCCTAACAGACCTACTGAAAAAGGTTGGGGCAAGTTATGACCCAAAGAAACGTAGAACTCCCACAACAAAGGCCCCAAATGTTCCTAAGCCTTCCAAGAAAAGAAAGGCTCTATCCCCAATACCTACTGCCTCTTTATTGCCAAAGGTTGAGCCACAAGAAGCAGGGTGAAACAGAGTGAAGCTGATCTACAAAGGGCTTTGGATAAAAGTAAGAAAAAGAAAATGGATAAAGGAAAGGGAAAGATTGCAGAATCCTCAGAGGCTGTTGAGGAAGAGGAGATGGAACTGGTCCATCAAGAAAGGGGTACATCAGTGGAGGTTCCTACCCCCAAGCCCAAAAAGCCCAAGACTTCCTCCAAGAAGTCTTCCTTTATGTCTGAGGTTGTTGAACCTACACTAGCCAAGAGGACAAGATCTGTAGTGAAAAACAAATAATCAAAAATTTCTGAAGATGATGACTGGAGTGGAGAAGAAGAAGAAAATGATTCTGAGAAGGAACAGGATAATCTTGCCATGTTTGGCAAAAGAAAGATTTTAAAGGGTAGACTGCTGAAAGACCTGGTGGAACTAGGAATGATGAGATTGGTGGATGCTTTAGCTGCTCAGGGATGGAAGGACATGGTCCTTCAGATGGATGGTAGGCTAGCCAGAAATGAGCTAATTGAATTTATGGAAAATACTGCGGTTAAGGATGGCAATGTTAGTAGCCTGGTGAAAGGAGTTCAAGTGCAGTTTGATGCAAAGATACTGGGAGAGATCCTGGACATACCCTCTGAAGGGTTTGATGACTATACAAGGAAAAGGTGGCCCTGCCTGGACTCTCTCCCCACTGATCTTGCAATCACCAGGAGGTTTTGTGATTCAGAAGATGTGAATGAAGCCAGGGCTGTGCAGAAAAGTGAAATGAGGCCTGAGCACAAGGTCTTGTTTGAATTTGTCAACAAGTGTTTATTGCCCAGACAGGAGAGAAGGCATATTGCAAATTACATGGATCTAGTTCTTATGGAGTGCCTGGAGAGAGGAAAGCAAATCAACTGGCTTGCCTTCATTATCAAGCTGCTAGACAGGGTCATAAATGGCTCCAAGTTTTATGTTACTCCCTATGGCTTTATTCTAACCACAGTTCTGGACAGGCTCAATGTGCCTCTGAAGAAATGGGAAATGGCCTCGAGCAAGGATCACTTTGGCATCAATGCTCTTCTTGCTTGTGACTATGCAGTCAATGCCATCCCAAATGAACCTGGTTCATCCTAGAAGGCACCCATCAACATCAAAGTTAGGACTCTGGTTCAGGAATGTGCAACCAAAGATGCTGAAATATCTAGGCTCAAGGCTCGTGTGACTGAAGTGGAATCTGAGAGGGATGGTCTCAGAACTGAGATTGCCAAAGAAAAGGAGAAGAATGATGGAATTCTTCACAATATGCTAAATCTTCTCCAAACCCAAACCCAACCCTCTAGTTCCTCCAAGCTTTAGGACTCCTAGCTTTTGTTTCCTGAACTTGTTTAGTGCCTCAATGACCTAGATTAGGGATTTTTCTAACTTTTGTTTTTGCTCATGGTTTGGATGTTTTTCTTTCTTTTTATGGATTGTTGGTGGCAACATATCTCTTTCAATGATAACTACTGTTTTGCTCTTGTTCAATGATTAATCTTTCCTTGATAGTTTAAATATGTTTGCTTGATTATTGATGATTACACCATGATTGCACTTGCAGTTGCCCCAGTGGCCATAAGTACTTATTAAAATTTGGGAATCACACTTTGTATGCAACTTTTTGATGATGCCAAAAGGGGGAAGAGACATTGTGCTTTACATATTCTGAAATAAGTGATATTTATAACCTAATTAACTTGGTCCTTGATGATAAGTGAATTTTCTAAGTTTAGTATTGATGGTTAAGCTGAGTTCTTACAGGTTCCAAATCAGTAAAAAGCACAGAGTTTGTCATCATCAAAAAGGAGGAATTTATTGGCCCAAGAACAAGTGAAGTTTTGAAGATTGACAAAAGAACTCAGTCATGGACCAGGTCCATCTTGTGAAGCAACAGTCATGATCAACCTATACATGTGAGATGCACGTGAAGAAGATAAGTTCTACTAATCAAGCAACAATATCTTCTGATCTGATCGAAAAGGTTGCATATTGGAAAAGGGGAGAAAGTCTCCTTATATGAAGAGAACACAATCTAGGATGAAGATAGTGGTAGAGTTTGAGATCATCATGAACTTTTCCACGATAGAAGAGCAGCAATTGAGTCCCAATCAAACTCTGATTACTAACCTATTAAATGTAAGTGTTGTTCTCTTTTACAGGTAATGCACATACGCAGAAGTTAAACTAAATTGAGAGCAAAAGAGCAAGGAGATTTTGCAAGAAATTTATGTGTGATTTGAGTGTGCACTCTTGAAGCTACTTGAACAGGATAGAAGAACCAGTTCGATTGTGTCTATCTTTTATTCTAGTTCAATTGTAGTAGGTGGTTTAAAATTGTACCTTTCAGCTTTCATAGAAGCAATTGTATTAGGTACCTAGAGTGTTCAAGTTATAGCTAACTTGAAGTTGTCGCAACGGTTGAGGCTGTGTGCCACAACGGGATTAGAGTTAATCTTTACGTTTACAAAGAGTTTTTATAAATGCTGTTTTGGCTCAGTGATTTTAGTGGAAGTTTGGGAAAATCCTACTGAGTAGTAGGTCGTGATTTTTTCACCTTTTGAGCCAAGTGTTTTCCACGTAAAAATCTCTGTGTTCTTTATTTTCTTTATTTATTATTCCGCAAACAGTAGTAGTTGGAACACCTAGAAGAACCAGGTTCTTCTATAGTTCAGTTATGTGAAAATTGGGTACCACAAAATCACCCCCCTCTTGTTTGGTATTGACGCTTAAAATATCAATTTGAACTATGAAGATTTATGTATTCAGCCAGACGTAGAACTGCCGGAGGGTTACAAACCTCCCAAGTTCGAAATGTTTGACGGAACATGTGACCCAAAGGTGCATCTAAGGACATGCTGCGACAAGCTCGTAGGAGTTGGTAAGGATGAAAGAATTTGCATGAAGTTATTCATGAGGAGCCTCACTGGAGACGCCTTGTCTTGGTATATTAGCCAAAATCCAAAGAAGTGGGTTAACTGGGTTTGTATAGCGTCAACTTTTATGGATCGGTTCAGATTCAACACAAAGAATGCACCAGATGTCTTCTTTATCCAGAATCTCAAGAAAAAGCCAATAGAGACTTTTCGCGAGTATGCTACTCGGTGGAGATCGGAAGCTGCAAAAGTAAGGCCGGCATTAGAGGAAGAGCAAATGAACAAATTCTTTGTTTGGGCCTAGGATCCACAATACTATGAGAGGTTGATGGTTATTGAAAATCATAAATTTTCTGACATTATCAAATTAGGAGAAAGAATAGAAGAGGGAATTAAAAGCGGAATGGTGACGAACTTTGAAGCACTCCAAGCTACAAACAAGGCCTTGTAGTCAGGAGGCATATCCAAGAAGAAGGAAGTAGGACCCGTGATGGTAGCCCAAGGACCAAACTCTCCTCTCACGTACCAAACCCAACCACCCACATATCAGCCTTCACCTCCCAAAAACAACCAAGCCACCGCCACCTACCATACTTATAACACACAACCTGCATATTACCACTCACCACCACCAGCCCGCTAAAACTACCAGAAACCCATACCAAATTTTGATCGTAGACCACCCAGATAATACACTCTTATTGCTGAACCCATTGATCAGCTTTATGAAAGGCTAAAGGTTGCCAGTTATGTCGCCCTCATTCCCGCTGTTTCTATGGAAAACACTTCCTAGTGGGTTAATCCAACAAGACATGATCACTCGGGCATGAAGGGACACACTATTGATGAATGTCGCACTTTGAAGGATAAGATCTAGACGTTGATTGACACCAAAGTCATACAAGAAAAAGAGGTTGCACCAAATGTCTGCAACAACCCCCTCCCGAATCACAGGGGCGAGGGGGTAAATGTGATCGAAATAGATGAAGAATGGGATCGGAAGGATAAATTGCACTCATTCGTGAAGGGGATGAAACCAAAGTACCTCCAGTCACTCTCACACCCATTATAGTGCAAATTCAGTCACCAATTGAGGTTGAAATAGCCACACCAACTCCGTTTAAGGTTAAAACAATAACGCACTCAACCGCACCAGCTCCATTTGAGGTGGAAGTGACCACACCCTTCACTGTGATGGTAGCACCCACACTATATTTTAATTCCAATGCAATACCATGGGACTATGCTTTAGAGGCGAAAAGAAAGGGAAAAGGGAAAATGGAAGAAACAGGTGCCGCACAAGGCATGACCATGACTGGTAGGGTTTACACACCTGAGCATTTGGGAGGAACAAGTAAAAAAGCTACTCCCAAGCAGCCTATCATTAAAACAGGCCCGGATGATCTTTGGAGAAAGGTGCAAGCAAGAAAATACTCTATGGTTGATCATTTGAACAAAATCCCTGCTCAGATATCCATTCTATCACTACTACAAAATTCTAAGACGTATAGGAATGCATTAATGAAAGTATTGAACGAGGCTTATGTACCCAACAATATCACTAGTGGAGAGATGGCCAACATGGTAGGGCAAGTATTGGAGAGCCACAAGATCACTTTTAACGAAGATGAATTGCCACCTGAAGGACTGAGTCATAACAGGGCGTTGCACATCACAATATAGTTTGAGGAAAAATTCATTGCCAGAGTGATAATAGATGGGGTTTCGAGCCTCAACATTTGTCCGTTGACTACTTTGAAGAGATTGGGTAAAGGCTTGCAAGAGATATGAGCAGGAATTATGAATGTGAAAATATTCGACGGGTCCCAAAGGGCCACGATAGGGGAAATAAATCTGTGTCTGCAGATGGGTCCAACTTGGTTTGATGTTGAGTTTTAAGTATTGGACATATCTGCCACATACAATCAGTTGTTGGGATGACCTTGGATACATGCTGCTGGAGCTGTAACTTCTATGCTACACCAGGCCGTGAAGTTCAAATGGAATCATCAGGAAGTGATCATTCATGGAGACAGAAGTAATCCTATTGACACCAATCAAACTGCTCTGGTTGTCGAAAATAGAAGGAAGTTGGGTGTAGAAGCATACCATCATATCGAGCGTGTCAATGCAATAGAGAAAGATAGGTAGTGGAGTAATACGATTGAAAGCATATTGTTATGGACAGGGTATGAACCCGATAAAGGTCTCGACAAGAATCTCCAGGGTATCACTAAGCTAATACAACCAAAATGCAAGGTACCACCTTTGGACTTGGATATCAGTATACCTGGCAGGAGTAAGATGATTGGTTGCCACCATGGCGTGGTCCTTATTACCCACTTGAACAGCCAATACCACATCTGCACCAGACATTTCAATAGACTGACGTGATATGGGGATCTGAAGAAGATGAGGTTTTAGCTGGCCTACAAAATCTGTTTCTGGATGATGAAGACATGGACTGCAATGCAATAGTTAAGGAGGAGGGGGAAGAGGAGGAAGAGCTTACCAATCGGTACCGTAGAGAAATGAGCCATTCTCAAGAATTGGACTGCTACACCATTCTGGGCCCGTCGAGTTCCTGGGTAGCCTAGCAATTAATGATCTATTTTAAGCATTTAAGACATTTTCAGTATTTTGTTTTAAGACGCATTTTATTTTGAAATAATTGCTCGAGTCATCGAGCCGTACTTGTTTTAATGTTTTCAAGACCTAACTAATGCATTGCTATTTTAGTATTTATTATTACCCTTTACATTTTCTCTCTACAACATTATTGTTACTTTTCCTGATGAACACGACTGTAATATGTAATGAGATAAAGCAACATAAGGATAGTGATTCAGAGGAAATAGAAAAAGAAGAAGATATAATCCTAGAGGAAATTGTCAGAGAGGTGGAAAATTTTGAGAATAAGCCTACATCAAATTTTGATGAAACCGAGATAGTCAACTTGGGAGATTCTGAAACAGTCAAAGAAACCCACATAAGTATTCACCTGTCACAGTTAGAGAAAGAAGAGTACACCCGTTTCCTAAAAGAATACGAAGTTATATTTGCATGGTCTTATGATGATATAACCGGGTTGAGCACATCTATCGTAGCTCATAAACTACCTACCAATTCGATGTGTCCGCTTGTAAAATAGATACTCAGAAAGTTTAAACCTGATATGAGTTTGAAAATCAAAGAGGAAGTTACCAAGCAGATCAAAGCTAAGGT